CGAGAGTGGTATACATGTTGTGATCGCCTATGCTGGTACGAGCTAAGAATTGATTGAAATTCAGACAAAGCTTAGAACAGTCTATTTTCGTTTGCAACCATTCTGTTTGATTAATATAGAATGACGAGTTGCTTACGGTTGTGTATATGTACATATGTGTGATAGAGTCTCCTACGACAGATGTAAAAGAAAGATGAATTTATACGTATGCGTCTGGATAGATAACAAATGAAATAGAGAAAATATGAATTTAGTATAGGGCGATGGTGATGAAAATGGTGGTGCTAATTGGCAAGGAATATGGAAGTGACTGTGTGATGAGTGGCTTTTTTTGTGTTATGTTCTCCTGTTCGCAGTTTACAGCACAAAATATATTTAGAAGGAAAGGATAAGTAATAAATTCAGACTAGAATGAGAAGAGAAGAATAGACTTGAATGCAAAGGAAGACGGAAAATTAAAGATACATAGAATAAAAGTAAAAAAGAAAAGTATAGCAAAAGGCAATAAAAAGGAAAAGCACACTGGTGAGTGGTTGCAGTTTTGAATATTAACCGCAACATTGATGCTTAAATAAAAAGCAATGTGTGGAATGAAACAAGATTGTGCAATTCAAAGAGAATTTTTTCCTGTCGGCATGGTTGTTACATATGTAAAAATCAAAAAGATGTGTGTAGCCGACAACATCTTTTGGTGCTCAAGCATAAGGACTAAACAAAAGCGTCTTCATACCGAAAATTAAAAAACACAGCACACATATATTTTAATTGTTTTTTTATTTCAAACACTTTCAGTTATTTACGCTAATATTGTGTACAATACTGGTAAGAATAGAACTCAGTGATGGGCTACACATAGACTCTAAATGAAAAAAATCACAATGTAAGCTTACAGGATAAATTTTTGAACTGGAAAAGTATACCATATTTATTTTACTTTAGTATAATTGTATGATTTGATAACCAGGCCGGTAGAGGTAGGCAGTGCAGGCTGGGCCGCCTTGGACTCTATTCTCTATAATGGTAATAGGGGTCATGGTGGTCTACAAGATAGCGTGTCTACAACCATAATAGATGTTTGGAGGTTTTCATTGTCATTTTCTTGAGTGCTGAAGGGCCCACCGTTGCAGTCCACGCGATAGAGCGTTTATGAAATCTGTGAATAATGATGAATGAAGGGCTATTCCTGCGAGTTTCTACCTACTTTATGTCTGTTGCTGGATTGTTAGTGTGATAATAGTCTCTTAGGAGAGACGAGTATTTTAGGTTTGTGTAGCTCTCCGATATCCACATAGGATGCTGCTAGCATAGCTTTAATTCGTTGGTGTGTAAATTTAATATTAAGGATGAATAACAGCGTGATTATAATGGTTGACAAGACCACACACGAGACTATTTACAAAAGCCAATTATGCTTGTAATATTGTTAGGGCGTAAGTGCAGAATCACAATTCCTCTGAAAAACACTGATAGAAGTTGTGATAAATGGCTCACAAAGTGACGTGGATAGTTACCCAACAACTAAAGTGGGGCGAAAGCACAATTGATATGACGTAAACTCAAGAAATCTCCTATAGGATAGCTTGCGAGAAATAGGAGCTTGTAACATTAAAAAAAAAGAATTGACATGATGAATTATAAATTGTTAATTTGTTCTATGAAAGTGTGGAATTGTGATATTGAATTATTAGATGAATTTTTAAAAGCTAGAATCGTTTGAGATGTTTGAAAATATATAATATAATGGTAATGAGTTATAGGAAAGGATATAAAGAAAAACATATATCTAAAGATACTCAGATCTGTTGGTTTAATGCGTAAAATGATAGAGCAAGTCTTTGAAAGGAGCAAATATATTCGGAGAAAAGTTTTAATAGGAATCTCCGTAAAAAAATGAGTAAGAGAAGCAATAAACTATAATAACTAGAGCATATATGAATATAAGAGGATACTAATGAAGACTAACTTCTCAAGCAAGAAATATATGAATACATAGTGAGCTCAATTAGTTAAGATATTTGTAATAAGAATTTTCTTAAAAAACACACTCATATGGACGAGAAAAAGACAGACTCTCATACGAATAACAAAAAAAAAACATAGCAAAACACACAGGAGAAACTCTCGCACGAGACACTATATAAAAGAACAGACACGCACACTATGAACACGCACATGCATATGCAACACTCGCTTGCTTGCTTGCACTGCAACCCTAATGACAATACGCAGCACAAGACACAATAGGCAAAACACTCCGCTATGCTTGCTCATACGACAACAATTACAACAAGCACACACATAACAACACTAGCGCGCTATACCAACAATGCATAAGTGCTGTTCACACTCTCTCTCACAGCATCTACACACACAACATCACTACCACACTAACCTCACACTCACACATTCACAGTACCATGTCACAACGCATCACATAGCACATTACACATTTGCACTTTGCTTGCTTGTGTCAGCACATCACGTGACAGCCCAACCCAAACCATGCATTTCACCTCCCAGTATCAACACTTGTAGACGATGTGGAGAAAAACTTGGCAATTTTTAGTCACAAAAGCCCCTTTACGGTCACGTTATTAAGAGTGTGCTCAGGGCAACGACGTGACAATGCTAGATGGCTCTGCATTGCATGATTCTCCTCCCGGTTGAGGCATGAGAACTTCCATGACACTGCCTGACTTTTCTAATTATATATCTGTGCTCTTAAGTTATTTCTCTCCCTCGCCCTCACATTCTCCCTTTCCTTTTACCCTCACTCTCTCCCTCTCCCTTACCCTCACCTCTCCCTTCCCTCCCTTCCTCTCCTATCTCCCTTCCTCACTCTCTCCCCCTTCTCCCTTACCCTCACTCTCTCCCTCTCCCTTACCCTCACTCTCTCCCTCTCCCTACCCTCACTCTCTCCCTCTCTCTCTCCTCCCTCTCCATCACCCTCTCCCTTTTCCTCACTCTCTCCCTCTCCCTTACCCTCACTCTCTCCCTCTCCCGTACCTTCTCCGCCCCCAGCCTCTCCCTCTCTCTTTCCCTCTCTCTTATCCTCACTCTCTCCCTCTCCCTCGCTCTCTCCCTCTCCCTTATTCCCTCTCTCTCCCTGAAGGCCTTTTGCTGAGATTTTTTTTCGGTGTTTTATATTTGTAGGTTTGTTTATGTAGCCCTTTCTTGATTTAAGATTTTGTATTGAATACTTTTTAAGTTAGAGTTACGTGTTCCTTTTTTTTACATCATTTTTTTTTCTTTCTTGTTTCCCTCGCCTTCACCTTCTCTCTTTCTCTCTCACCCTCTCCCTTACCCTCAGCCTCATCCTCTCCATCATCCTCTCCCTCAGCCTTTCCCTCTCCCTTATTCCCCCTCTCTCCCTCACCTCCCGTTGCAGTGTTTTTTTCGGTGTTTTATGTTGTTTTATTTGTCTATGCATCCTTTTCTTGATTTATGATTTTTAATGGAATATTTTTTTTCAGAGTAGGGTTACGTTTTCCTTTTTTTTTCTTCTTTTTACACCATTTTCTTTTCTTTTCTTTTTCTTTCTTGTTTTAGGTCGGGGAATGTAACAAGGATTTGATCAAGCAATGTCTTGCGTGTCATAGGTATTTTTTCTTCTTTTCTTCTTCACTGAATCTTTAAGAAGTAAAGAAGTTGAACAAAATATGAAAAGAAAAACAACGAGAGAAAACAGAAAATATGCAAATCACCCAGAGAGAGAGAGAATTTGTACACTTCAGACTAAAAAAAAAAAAAAAGAGAGAGAGAGAGAGAGAGAGAGAGAGAGAGAGAGAGAGAGAGAGAGAGAGAGAGAGAGAGAGAGAGAGAGAGAGAGAGAGAGAGAGAGAGAGAGAGAGAGAAAAGAAAGACCCAAAGTATTCACACAAGTTCAAGGCGTAACGAAAATTTTCCTTCCACATACACGAGTAGCAACGCACACAGACCACACACCGTGAAGTATGTGAGTCAGCCCTTCTTCTCCCCTTCAGCAACGCAATTACACACCAAAATAGCACGAGAATTCGGGAAGGTAACTGTCACATGATGGAACATATAATAACATTATGGTCTTGATAGTCATGTCGACGTACATAATCCCGGTAAAACAATAAAATTCGGTGACGCATTTCTTAGTGATGTGTAGGCTCTTTGCAAAACGTAGGTCTAACTCGTGAGTGTTAATGAAGCTAAGCACAGGTGTATAGGTTGGAATGAGGGTTAGTAAATTAGCTGTCATTAGTGGGCTTAATTAATTGACATTCAAGGTCTTAATGACATATTGGTGTCCTTCTTCTTAATAAGGTTAACAAGGGGCTTGGGTGACGCATTGGGTATTGTAATTAGCTGCCATTAATAAGCATTGATTGACTCATTATGTGTTTTGGTCACAATACTTTTGGAATTATACTTATGGATATATATTTTTTTCTCTCCTCCCTTCTCCCATTCTGTCTATCTTAATCACTTTACTGCGTTGCTCGTATTTATTTACGAGCAAATAAAAGATATAGACTTATCTATACTTTTGGCTGAAGGACGAAGGTAAGCACGCATACATTTAAATGTATAAAGATGTAAACAAACATGATAAACTTTTGAACTATTCGTTAACTAATGGAAATGTTGAAGCTAGAAATTTGCCATCATGACATAACAATAGTGATGATGATAATGATGATGGTGGTAACAGCTATGATTATTGATGTTAATGGTTGTAATAATAATTACAAATAGTTAGCTATACTTATATAAATATGTATATATATATATATATATATATATATATATATATATATATATATATATATATATATATAATATACATATGTAGCGATATAGATATATCTATATATATACATATATACATACATACATATGTAATATATATATATATATATATATATATATATATA